ATATATATACACACACACACACACACACACACGTCAAAAGTAATTTCCAATGGGCACAGCAATTGAAAGAAAACTATGCAGCCTTCCGCCCTGTGGAAAGTGGGAATGGTTTCGTTAAATACCCAACAACTGTGGGAAAATCAAAAAAAAACAAAAAAACAATAAAACAATTTCGATTTCGACGGAAAAACACAAATATTTGATTTTGTTATTCAGTTTATTTTCATACTGCGTGTACAGACTGAATTCACACATACTCAGTGCGTCACTGATTACGAGACAGCTGACGTCATGCAATAGCAAGGCTCCAAGGAAGATATCGCCTGTTTTATTATATTTGCTACTTACAAATTGCGTTACATAATAGCACGTTTTTGACTTTTTCCTACTGCTTTCGCAGTGTAGAGAAATTTTTGTAATCTGCGAGAAAAAATTGCGAATTCAAAAGAAAAAACCCTTTTTGTTGAACCCTGATAACGATAAAGTGGATAAATCGTGACCTTAAGTATAGCATAATACTACTTCTGACACGTATAGTCAGAATCCACGTTTAGTGCGTCCTTGATACCGAAAAATCGTATGTCCTTTTGTCCGCCTGTTTGTGAACTCTGTCTCACGAAAACTGTACCGTGTTTACCGGGCTTAAAGACTAGAATCATACTTCTGGCTTAAAGATGGAAGGTTTGTTCAGTGCTGGACTCAATCTTATTTCAGATGTGTGATGATTCGTACTTATTATTTACATTTGTTTTTAGGGGAATGATAAACAGGAACAAATATGACTGCATTGCATTTGAGAAAAATTCAGTAATTTAGTTAATAATATTTTTAAGATATAATCCCATCCTATTAAACGAGCAATGAACATACATTAGAATGAGCTGCATATGTTTACGTTTGCAATCATAAATTACGAACTCAATTATAATTGATGCTTCGTAAAGAAAAATTCGAATAAATAAACAATTACATTAAAACAAGAGTGTAATATACGTTTATCACGTATGAATTTTTAATTGTTCATTTACAGTATGTTCATTTTTTTCCAATTGATGCGTTGAATAAAGTTAATTATTTACGATACTATTTTTAATAGGAAGAAAAGCTAAAGCTAAAGAAAGTACTTTTATAAAGAAACTTGCATAATTTTCATCAGTGAAACAAGAAAAGCAAACACTACTCTAGTTACAGTTTATTCACAACTTTCTTCCAACATCCCAACCTGTCATTATTCTGTAAGTACTAACATACTTCACTAACTACGAATATTATTTTTCAATATATTCTCTCGTCAGATAGTAACATTCCCAATACCGAAAGTTTTGTTCAAAAATCATGAAGTTCATGAATCAAAAATCAACAATACGTGGGAAGTAAAACTACACATCTCCTAATTGAGAATGTCTTTCAATCCGTTTGGAAATGAAGAGCTTGAAGCAGTAACCAAAATAAACCACTTATTCCCCTGCTATTTGTAAAAGCTGATATTTAGATTTTGTTCTAGATTTTTTTTTGCCCGAAGCTATTCATAAATATCAAGAAAACATATTTAGTAACAAGATAAACCACACTTTCACCAAAAGCGAGATAATAACATTTACGAATATCGGGAAACTTGCTGTGCCTGGTGAAGTTCTTTTCCCATTTATTACCCCAAGCCCTTCAAATAATATTACTTGCTTCCTATTTTTGTCGCAACAATTTATTTTTGTATCGCCGACCCTCGAGGTTCCAACGTCATGTTTTTTTTTTTTTTTTTTTTTCACTATCACAAGCGCGTGTTTACTCTCGCGAGCGGGCGTCGACTGATGCTACGCAGAGCAGGCGGAATCGCCGCGAGGAGCCGCGCGCGCACTCAATGGGCCCTTCTTCTTCGCGAGCGGCGCCGGGTGTCGCGTCGGCCGCTCAAGGAGCGCACTGTTCCGGAACGACGCACGCCCTCCGTGCGGAGGAGATGGAGCAAACGAGGGGAACGGGGAATGGAGGAGCAGGAAGAGGAGGTGGGGAGGAACGGAGGAGCAGGGAGAGGAGGAGGAAGAAAAGGAGGTAGAGCAGGAAGAGAAGGGAGAGATGCAGAAGCTGGAAAAGGAGAAGGGGAGGACACGGAGAGATGAAGGAGCAAAAGACTAGGAAGGGGGAAATGGAGGAGCAGGAAGAGGAGGAGGGAGGAGCAGGAAGAGGAAGTGGGAGGAGCAGGAAGAGGTGGGAAGGAACGGAGGGAGAGGAGGAGCAAAAAAAGGAGGTAGAGGAGCAGGAAGAGAAAGGGGAGATGCAGAAGCAGGAAGAGGAGGGAAGGACACGGAAGAGAAGAAGAAGCAAAAGACTAGGAAGGAGGAAATGAAGGAGCAGGAATAGGAGGGGAAGAGCAGGAAGGAGGAGATTGACGATCAGGAAAAGGAGGTGGGGAGGATCGGAAGAGATGGAGAAGCATGAGAAGGAGAGGAGACGGAGGAAATGCAAGAGGAGGAAGAAAGAAGATGGACGAGCAGGACGCGGGGAAGGGAGTGAAGACTGAGAAGATAGATGACAGAAAGGGGAGGAGAAAACGCAGAAGCAGGAGTACGAGCAGGAAAAGTAGGAGAAGGAGGATGAAAAGGAACAGGACCAAGAGGAGGAGCAGAATTGATTGATTGATTTCGTGATTCCGAGCACATCAACTAAGCCCATTAGTCCCGTAATTGAAGTACATGTTTTATCGCTTGTGGTAGCAGTGATCTTACAACTCTGGATGGCGAGATCCGCCTACCCGTCAGCTAACGGGATTTTCCCAACCACGTACCTCCCACCAGCGGGGCCCCGCCCCACCCGAGAAAGCTTCAAGCACCCGTCTGGTCTTTCGGCATGTGTAGTAGTGTAGTGCTCGCAAATGAAAGTGTCTAAGTGATGAGAATATGACAAGAAAGAGGAAGGAAAAATCGCGGGTGTCCTTGACCCGTTTGTTAGGGTACTACTCCGGCATTTACCTGGCGTTGATAGAGAAACCACGGAAAACTATCGATCAGAGCAGCCGGCTGCAAGAATTCTCCTCCAGACAGCGACTGAATCCGACGTAGCTATTTATCTAGTGTCGAAAATCCTGTCACCGTCGGAAGTGGAACCCTAGAACTTCTAGAGCAGAGAAACTGCAGTGACATCGGCTGATGCCCTGAGCCACCTAAACCGGCACAAGGAGCTGGAGGAATAGGAGAAGGAGACGAGGCAGGTGAAGCAGGAAGAGACTCGCAAGAAGGATGAGGAATAGGAGAGTGAGTAGGAGGGGGAGAAGGAGTGGGATGAGCGAACCCTCATGAACGAGCCTTGCCCTCGCCTGTTCCCGGCAATCAGCTCCGCGCACTCACCCTTTCGTCGTCGAAGGAAGTGGGTCAGTAGCCTAGGTCGCCGTGAGCACGCAAAATCCAGCCTCACTTTTGCCGCCAAAAAATTGCATATTCATGAGACCTCTTTGCACTGACCCCAAACAAGCATCTCTGCGGAGAAAAGAAAACAGGTTAAGGCTTCTGAAAAAGAAGCGATTCAAGGATTGCATACATTCCGGTTAATGAGGTGATAGCGATCTTCACAAACATTCGCTATTTTCTCTATAAAATGGAACCTTGACGTTAGTGCGACGAACGGAAAATAGATGCAGAACAGTGAGCAACACACTCAAGATGCTATGGGAACGTTTCACCCCCGCTCAAATGTACGTATCTATTTAAATATGCTTCTCAGAACAAAGACAGATCAACATTCTTTGTTCCGTAAATAAACCTCCACTAAATGATACAAATACTAGGTGAAAAGAGACTACTTGAAAGGACTACGTAATATTTTACTTTATTGTTGTGATGACTTACGACCGGAAGTTTTGTTCGAAGAATACAATTTTTATTCGATGCGAATTACGAAAACTTCAAATAATTAATTGTATGCCATTATTAAAGCTGTGTTAAATGAATCGATCTTAAAATGGACCAGATTCTATCGTATAAGCTTAGGATAAAGTTAGAGTTACTTTTAAAACATCTATACGTGAACTACAAATCACCCAGTTACCATCTTTTGTAATAGTGTTGCCGAATATTATTATGAATCGGAATGCTTCAATTTATTGAAATAAAATTCATTACTCATTTTGCGGCACAAATCTTTCCAAGTGTCACTGACTTCACATATCAACATTTCTGGGAATTCGCAATTACTCACTGCCGTCATGTAGTGAATGATGATTAGAGTTCGGAAAATATGTGAAATGAAAAGGAATAATATGTTCATCAATAAAGAAAATGATAAGAATATGTAACAAATACGTAAGAAAGAATAAAATAAGTTATATCAAAATACGCTTTTATTTACAGAAAATTTTCAAACAAACAAATTGAAACAAATTAAACAATTTAAATCAGTTTAAATTTACATTATAAAAATATTTTTGAAACCAATTTTAAAAAAACTATTAATTGTCATACTGAATTATTTTTTTAATGTTCGAAAGCAGTGACAGCTATCGAACAGAAGTGGGAACTCAATTACCAGCAAACAATAACTGTAGCATTGCCATGGTAGTGTTACGTCTGCCACAACCAATACGCCTCTTAAATTTGTTTAACCACGACCTATGCTTTCCACACTTGAAGATAATCTTCTCAGCGCTCATGCGCTCTTGCCGCAACTTAGATGCAGTGGAGCCGGACCCACATAGCCGGCCCCATCTATCTGAGGCCGTCTTCAGATGGGGAACCTCGTGTGGGTATCACGCAATTCTGATAAGGGTAAGAAAAATACTGTTTTTTGAAGTAACAATTATTTTTGAAAACTCACAAAATAGTTTTCGCGAATTAAATGTAAAAAAATGGTAGAATAAAAATGAATATTTTTTTGTAAAATATAAGCAACATATAAAAATATTGTAAAAAAATAAGCAAAATATGTAATATAGTACAAAATATGTAACGAAAAATTTGCGTATTGTCTTCTGTTTGCCCTGATTCGCCCCGAGCACAATCTTGAGAACTGAACGCAGGAAGACAAAAAAGATGTAATTACATAAGAAACCGGTCTCTAGTGACGATGCTGAGGGTGGAGATGAGTCGTCTCGTCCTCTGCGCCCTCAGATCAAGGCAACGAGCGCGCTCTGCATCCACTGCTTCACACTTCGTTGGTGGGTCAACATCCGTTGTTCACAGTTCACGATGAACGCGGCGATAACGTCTTATTTGCCGTAGCTCTCCTGAAGACTTCGTTCAAACACGAACCTCAAGTGCAAGAGTAAGACGCGCGCACTCGAGGGGCGCTTTTCTCGCGCAAAGAAAAAATAAATATTTGAAAATACCTAACT